AAGAAACGATATCCATTACATGTCTATGACACTTTGATTTAGATAATGATTAAGAGCCCCTGGTGACACAATGGATTAAATCCTTGTGCTGACAGGACAGAAGACCGACAGGTCAGAGGTTCAAATCTGGGGCGAGCACAGATGAGCTCGCTCTGTCAGCTCCAGCTCCCCTTGCGGGAACATGAGAGAAGCCTCCCACAAGGATGGTAAAGCATCAAAAACATCCTGGCGTCCCCTGGGCAATGTCCTTAAAGGTCAGATGATCGAATCCGGGGAGAGCACGGGTGAGCTCCCTGTGTCAGCTCCAGCACATCATGTGGTGACATGAGACAAGCCTCCCACAAGGATGGTAAAACATCAAAAAACATCTGGTTGGCCCCTGGGCAATGTCCTTGAAGACAGCCAATTCTCTCACACCAGAAGTGACCAGAAGTTTCTCAAATCACTCCTGACATGAAAAAAATCAGATAATTTTAGAACATTTGTGATTATTGCTGCTTTGTTGTTTTAGATTTTCATTTTCTTAGCCAACCTTGGATGAAAATATTTTTAATAAGTAATAATAATTTGTGCAGCTACACTCCCCCGTGCAATTTTGTGGCAATAAGCATTGTAAATGAGGAAGGAGGCTGCATTTCCATCAGTTAAAAAAACATACTAGTCAATCGAAAAATTATGTTTCTTGAAAACAATAGCAGTAACCAGTGAGAAGGTGTCTGGATTGTGCAGCACTAAATAATGTATTTGTGAGCAGCCTAATTACAGCTTTTCTTTGCGGTGTGCGTTATCGATATGCACAAAAATGTAACCATGGAAAAAGGCCCTAATTAGCCTTCTCAAAATAAAAGCGCACACAGGTTGGAAAAATAAGCAATTGAGTGTGTTAAGTGTGGAGAATGGAGGGAAGTTAATACTTTTCTGTGTATGACACCTTTATAGTTTAATGTCACCCATTCAGTCTGTAGCGACAAAACAAGCTGAGCTGACCCTGTTTGACATTCGTGTACCCATCTCTCCTCTTCTTCCAGGATGGTCACAAGACCAGAGTTGTGATATGATCTGATCTGCAGGCAATTAAAATTTCACACTCTATATGTGGAAATGTTTTCCTTTCCCCCTGTTCTGAACCTAAAATTGTGTGTAGAATAAGACAGAGCATATAATCATCAACCTTCATCAACCTCCTCCTCCTCCTCTTTTGTGAGAACACTTCTAGATCCAACAGATCTGTTTGTGTTCTGGGAGTGGGTTTATCAAGTGGACAATTTTGAGAAGAAAAGGAGGACCTGAGACTGTGAATCAAAAAATGGTGACATCCATACAGCAGAAATAGCCTATTTTTAGAAGTGGACGGTAAGAAAACAATCAAATGTCAAACCACATATCGAGTGTGAAACTGCAGCTCCCTGCAAGTCTGATATCTCAGCTTTGATCTTGTGACCATTCTCGAAGGGAAGTAGAAGAAAGGTGGGTGTGTGTGCCTGAGGCACCCTATTATATTCAAAGCAGTAGTTTAGAGATATGTCAGGGTTCAGACAACTTCTAGTCCCGATACAGCATACCATTAATTAATTGAAGGTCCTTATGTCTTGATTCACCATTCAGCAGTTGACTGAATGGGGTTACTCTAGTTGGGACTAACTGACAGGATGCCAAACAATGGGCTGCAGCACTGACCTTATTTCAAAGATGGAGTACAAAGTGGAATATCTTGGGTTGTTGTAGGTTTTTTTCAGGCTATATGGCCATGTTTTAGAGGCATTCTCTCCTGACGTCTTCGCCTGCATCTATGGCAAGCATCCTCAGAGGTAGTGAGAGGCACCTCTCACTACCTCTGAGGCATTCTCTCCTGACTCTTCGCCTGCATCTATGGCAAGCATTCTCAGAGGTAGTGAGAGGCACCTCTCATACCTCTGAGGCATTCTCTCCTGACATTTCGCCTGCATCTATGGCAAGCATTCTCAGAGGTAGTGAGGTCCTCACTACCTCTGAGGATGCTTGCCATAGATGCAGGCGAAACGTCAGGAGAGAATGCCTCTAGAACATGGCCGTATGGCCCGAAAAAACTTACAACAACCCAGTGAAAGCCTTCGACATTACATGGAATATCTTCTTTGTTGGCCTTTTCCACACAGCTGAATAAAATACCACATTTTCTGCTTTGAACTGGAATATATGGCAGTGTAGGCTCAAATAACCCAGTTCAAAACAGATATTGTGGGATCTTCTGCCTTGATATTCCGGGTTATATGGCTGTGTGGAAGGGCCCTTTAACTGCCATTATTGGAGCCCCCGGTGGTGCAGTGGGTTAAACCCCTGTGCCGGCAGGACTGAAGACTGACAGGTCGCAGGTTCGAATCCGGGGAGAGGCGGATGAGCTCCCTCTATCAGCTCCAGCTCCTCATACGGGGACATGAGAGAAGCCTCCCACAAGGATGATAAAACATCAAAAATCATCCGGGCATCCCCTGGGCAACGTCCTTGCAGACGGCCAATTCTCTCACAACAGGATGCTCCTGACACAACAAAAAAAAACCCTGCCATTATTCAATGCTATGAAATCCTCGGTTGTGCAGTTTGTTGAGGTTCCAGCACTGTTTGAGGGGAGATCTTGTAAAACTACAGCTGCCAGGATTCCATAGCAATGAGTATGGATGAACTTATCTGAATTCTCCGACTAATTCTTTTACACTCAGGGCCCTTCCACACAACCATAGAACCGAGAATATCAAGGCAGAAAATCCCACAATATCTGCTTTGAACTGGGTTATCAGAGCCATATATCCCAGGACCCTTCCACACAGCCCTATATCCCAGAATATAAAGGCAGAAATCCCACAATACCAGCTTTGAACTGCGTTATCTGAGTCCACACTCAGATAATGTGGAATTTCCTGCCTTGATATTTTGGGATATAGGGCTGTGTGGAAGCCCCCCCCCCCCCCCCTCCGGTTCAAAGCAAATAATGTTGGATTTTATTCACCTGTGTGGAAAGGGCCTCGGCCATTCTACTCCCCCTGCTTTCATCCTGTAATTTAATCCCATTTTACCAAATTTATTGTTTAATCAAGTTTTATTGTGTTTTACTTTATGTTAGTTAACTATTTTAGGATAGTTTTAGGATAGCGATTAGTGTCTATTTGTTGTGTATGTTTGTTTTTCTCTTTTACTGTTGACATGGTCAGTGAACTAATCAATAAACAGATCTATCACAGCAATGAGCTGTGATAGTTAAAGTAATACCAAACTGTATTAATTCTGCACCCTCGGACAGCCAATGCAATGAAGGGACAAGACTTCAGGAAATTGTGCTAGGAATTGTGGGAGCTGTAGTCCAAAACACCTGGAGGGCCCAAGTTTGCCAATGCCTGTTGTAGAGAATCCCATTTTGCCAGGCTTATTCAAGTTATCCGTTTTCGGCAGCCCATCCACAGTTGTGCTTCCTGTGGAGCCCCCGGTGGCACAATGGGTTAAGCCCGTGTGCTGGTAGGACTGCTAACGAAAAGGTTGGATGTTCTAACCTAGGGAGTGGGGTGAGCTCCTGTCTGTCAGCTCTACCTTCTCATGCGGAGACATGAGAGAGCCTCCCACAGGATGGTAAAACATTTGGGAGTCTCCTGGGTAACGTCCTTGCAGACAGCCAATTTTGACTGCTGACCAAAAGGTCGGAGATTCTAACCTAGGGAGTGGGGTGAGCTCCTGTCTGTCAGCTCCACCTACTCATGCGGGGACATGAGAGAAGCCTCCCACAGGATGGTACAATGTCCAGGAGTTGCCTGGGCAACATCACTGCAGACAGCCAATTCTGACTGCTGACCAAAAGGTCAGAAGTTTGAATTGAGGGAGCTGGGTGAGCTCCCCTTTCTCAGCTCCAGCTTTCCATGTAGTGACATGAGAGAAGCGTCCCACAAGATGGTAAAATATTTGGGAGTCCCCTGGGCAACATCCTTGCAGACGGCCAATTTTGACTACTGACCAAAAGGTCGGAGGTTCTAACCTAGGGAGTGGGGTGAGCTCCTGTCTGTCAGCTCCACCTTCTCATGCGGGGACATGAGAGAAGCCTCCCACAGGATGGTAAAATGTCCGGGAGTCACCTGGGCAACATCCCTGCAGACGACCAATTCTGACTGCTGACCAAAAGGTTAGAAGTTCAAACCCAGGGAGTGGGGTGAGCTCCCATCTCTCAGCTCCAGCTTCCCATGTGGTGACATGAAAGAAGCCTCCCACAGGATGGTAAAACATTTGGGAGTCCCCTGGGCAACGTCCTTGCAGACGACTAATTCTGACTGCTGACCAAAAGGTTAGAAGTTCAAACCCAGGGAGTGGGGTGAGCTCCCGTCTCACAGCTCCAGCTTCCCATGTGGTGACATGAGAGAAGCCTCCCACAGGATGGTAAAACATTTGGGAGTCCCCTGGGCAACGTCCTTGCAGACGGCCAATTTTGACTGCCGACCAAAAGGTCGGAAGTTCGAACCTGGTGAGCAGGGTGAGCTCCCGCCTGTCAGCTCCAGCTTCTCATGCGGGGACATGAGAGAAGCCTTCCATAGGATGGTAAAACATCGAGGAGTCCCCTGGGCAACGTCCTTGCAGACGGCCAATTCTCTTACTCCTGACACATTCACACAACAGCTGTGCTTCGCTAGGTTTTGTGCAAGCATGGCTCTTATGTTGACAGCAGAGAAGATCAGATAAATTCATAACGTTTCTGGGACACACGTCGAATGAAACAAGTTCTTAAAAAATGGGAGACGGAGCAAAGAGAGCGACAAGCCCAGGAGGATGGGGAAAGAAAGCGAGAAGGAGGAGAGCGTGTGCGTCTTTTGGAGAGAGCAAGACCGGGCAGATGCGAGGGAGGCGTGTGGGACTTCATCACTTTGGGAGGCCCCTCGGGGGTGGGGTGAAGTAGGGTAGGGGACACTGGCCGAGAAGGCTGCCACCCTGAGATAACGTCCTCCCCAGGCTGAGAGAGAGAGAGAGAGAGAGAGAGAGAGAGAACTTGGAGGTTCCTTCTGAGTCATGCAGGCAGAGTGGAAGTAACCCCTCCCACAGCCCTGGACTGTTAAATAGCCCTGCTGCCTGCATGTGCCCCTCTCAGAGCCAGCAGGAGCTCAGCAAAAGGAGGCCGAGGGAGGAAGGAAGGAGAAAGAGGGGGAGCTGGAGTGGGCACTCATGGACCAGCCAAAGGGTAAGAGCAGAGGGACAAGGATGGAGGAAGGAGGCGCTCTGAATGGGAAACAGCTCAAACCAGGCATCTCCCCCTCCCTCCCTCCTTCTTTCATTCCCCAAGCACCTTCCAACCCAAAGCAAGAAGTGGAGGCCAGGAGTGGGGGGTGAGAGGGACTTGAAGGACTTGGCTGGCTGTGATGTCAGCCTCCCCACAGACAAAAGTTGGAGGAGTTCATGAATATTCATCCCAAGTGTGGAAGCATTCAGCCTTGCCATTCAGGAGTGGACTCAATTCAGAGTCCCTTCTGCCGCCGTCCAAATGCATCAGCACAAGCTTGCAAAAATGGACATGGTGCTGTGTGTGTGTGTGTTGCTTCTGAGATGATGAATTCGCTCTTAAGGAGATTTATTTTGGACTCTGGGACATGCAGATTTTCTGCATTCCTTCCTTTCTGTGAAACTGGCATGAGTTTCTGCTCCAAGTTTAGATTGTGCTGAAAGAGAGCAGTACAAATGTGCGCCGATGTGAGAGGCTGCGCTGCCTCTGAAGGTCAGGGACCAATAAAAAGGGATTGCGGATATTGGTGTTTGGGACAGGTAAAAGTGACTTTGTGGGGAAAAGGTTCCCAGGCTGTGTAGTACAGTGTTCCCTCACTTATTGCAGGGGGTTACGTTCCAGGTCCTCCCGCAATAAGTGAAAAACCGCAATGTAGGGATGCTATACTAATTTTAATATTTATACATTATTTTAGTAGTTAAACACTATTTTAAACTTTAAACTTTATAAACTTAAAATAAAGTGAAGGAAAGGAAGGAAAGGCCCTTCAGGCTGGAGGGAGGGAGGGAGGACTGAGGAGGGAAAGCGCCTCGGAGAATGGTGGTGGCAAAAGCCCACGAAATAGTGAAAATACCACAATATATATTTAAAATGTATCTTTTTTTGAAAACCGTGAAACAGTGAGTCTGCTAAAAGCGAACCACGAAGTAATGGGGGAAGACTGTACACATATTTTTTAAAAATTTGAGAGTGTTGGGATGGAGAGGATTCTAGATGTGTGCTTGACGGCCAATGTATTGGGGAGGGGGCGACAACTTTTCTATAGTGTTTCCATTCAGCTAGTTCTGTTTTGTCATTTTTAGCAGATTTGCAATGTCATCAACAATCCACACTGCTTTAATAACAATTGCATGTGACAGAGGCCCCACCTACACTGCCGTATAACTGCACTGAACTGCATAATATGAGTCTACAATGACTATATAAGGCATAAGATGGGGCCACAAATGCATGATGTTCACTCAAAGGTGAACATCATGTGAACAATTCCTTGAAACTTTTGGTCCTTGGTGATCTAGCATCCAAACAAGACCAGGAGTATTATGAATGGATACTGACATATGCATTGAAAGATACTTTGCTCAGTAGTGCCATTTTTGCATGTAGATGGGCTCAGGGTCAGTCTTAGCCTTTGAAGTTACAAAGGTGAGGTCGTGGGTGAAGAAAGGAAAGTCCTCTGTCTGAGACTGCTGTCACTACTTAGATAGGTGGACAAATGCAATGTCCTCCTGATAGTAGTGATCCCATATTCACATACACAGGGTTTGTGTGTGTGTGTGTGTGTGTGTGTGTCAGGAGTGACTTGAGAAACTGCAAGTCGCTTCTGGTGTGAGAGAATTGGCCATCTGCAAGGACGTTGCCCACGGGATGCCCGGATGTTTTGATGTTTTACCATCTTTGTGGGAGGCTTGTCTCATGTCCCCACATGGGGAGCTGGAGCTGATAGAGGGAGCTCAACCTGCTGTCCCCAGATTTGAACCGCTGACCTATCAATCAGCAGTCCTGCTGGCACAAGGTTTAATCCATTGCACCACCGGGGGCTCCACAGGATAATCCCAGCAGAGTATATGAAGTAAATGGGACATGAGAATTTTCTGTGACTTCCATTGTTTTTTCTTCTATGTGGACTTTTCCATTTTTAGAGGTTTTTAAATTGAGGTTCGATGTGTTGCACGGATGCTTAGGATGAAGTGCTTCTCTGGTAGAGGAGACCAACCTTTTTTTCCTCAATGCACCAGGCACTACATTTGAGCCCATTGGGTACAATTGTTTCTTATAAACTACTTAAGGACCAACAAGCAATGGTTCAGGAACCAGCATTTGTCCAGAAACCACCTCTTTGAGAAGCACTGTGTGAATTCCTGAAAGGTACAGAGATTGGACTAGATAGCTTTTGAAGTCTTTTTAAAAACTCTACAGTTCTATGACTTAAGAAGGACAAGGAAAGGGAGAAAAAAGAAATGTGGTAGCACCTTTAAGTCTAACTGGTATTCATTTCTGCATTAATTTGAATGGATGCAAATCCACTTCTTCGGAAGCAAAACTAAGTAATAGCAAGATCTCAGATATAAAGCATATTTGTACAGTGGAATAGGATGTAATACGATTTGTCCTATTGCCACAACTATAAATATGCTTTATATCTGAGATCTTGGTGCCCCAGTGGTGCAGTGGGTTAAACTGCTGAGCTGCTGAACTTGTTGATCGAAAGGTTGCAGGTTCAAATCCAGGGAGCGGCATGAGCTCCCACTGTCAGCCCCAGCTTCTGCCAACCTATAGTTCAAAAACATGCAAATGTGAGTAAATCAATAGGTACCGCACCGGAAGGTAACAGTGCTCCATGCAGTCATGCCAGCCACACAACCTTGGAGGTGTCTAAGGACAACACTGGCTCTTTGGCTTAGAAATGGAGATGAGCACCAACCCACAGAGTTGGACATGACTGGAATTAATGTCAGGAGAAAACTACACTAATAAATATTGCCTAAGGAAGAAAGAATTTTATATCCATGAAAACCCAAGCAAAAACAAAACCCAGTTATTCTTAAAGGTGCTTCTATTGTTCTCTTTCTCTCTTTGTTCATTGAAAGTTATGTGTGTGTCTAAGATTCCTTCTTCAGATATAGCAGTGTCAAGGTTACTATCTTCAGCAAGTAACTGAAGTTAGGCTTTCACAAACTTTTCTGTCACCTTTCTCACATCTGATTGGCCACCTAGGAAATTGTGTCATTGGACTTGCCGGCCACAGACACAGACAAAGCGGTAGCTCTTTTATTTTGCTGGGGGAAGCCTCTTTTTTGTGGTAATCTGGTTTCCGGGCTTTGCGCAGGAAATGCAAAAGGAGAAGTTTTCCTGCAGACGGATAGGGTTACTCTTTTAAACCATTATTCATCACAACTTTTGAATACAAGGGAGTATAAATTATTGGGTTGCTGTGCGTTTTTTGAGCTGTATGGCCATGTTCCAGAAGCATTCTTTCCTGACGTTTTGCCCACATCTATGGCAGGCATCCTCAGAAGTTGAAGGGTCTGTTGGAAACTGAGTAAGTGAGGTTTATATATCCGTGGAATGTCCAGGGTGAGAGAAAGAACTCTTCTCTGATTGAGGCATGTGTGAATGTTGCAGTTTGCCACCTTGATTAGCATTTGATGGCCTTGCAGTTTCAAGGCCTGGCTGGTTGCTGCCTGGGGGAATCTTTTGTTGGGAGGTGTTAGCTGGCCTTGATTATGTTTCTCAGTTTTAAGCATCTCCTCTTGTTCCTCACAGACATTACCTTAGAAAACAAAAGAAGAAAGGGGAATCTCCTTTTCATAATACCTTACTCAATAGGATTTCCTTTTAATAGCAAACCAGAGCAGAAGTGTTCAGAAACCACAATCTTAGAGTTGGAAGAGACTAAAAGGGCCATCCAGTCCAACCCTATTCTGCTATGCAGGAACACACAAACTCCCGACAGATGGCCATTCAGCCTCTGCTTTAAAAAAAACCCCAGAAAAGGAGACTCCAGGCAGCATATTTCACAGTTGAACAGCTCATATCATCCAGAGTTCTTCCTAATGTTTAGGTGTTCAAGTCTCTAGAGCAGGATGAAAACATGATAGTTAACATAATGTCACCTGCTACTATTTTACAGGGTGCCTGGTTTGTTTGTTACTTGGTAACTAGAGAGATTAACTACTGTGTGGACAATGCAGGACTCTGAGATGAGTATGAAAATGGGTACCCAGTTATAGTAAGTACTATAATTTCATTTTAGCTTCCATTGTTCAATCCTCGGGAAGCCTTAGAATTCTCAGCTGGAGATCTCTAGCACTTTCTAAACTACACATCTCTGACTTCCTTGGGATGTTGCCATTGCAGTTAAAATGGAATTA